AGGGTATTTGGGGTTGGAACAAGCAGGTCTTGTGGTGGCTTAATGTTCTTCTGTTGGTTGAGGTAGGGGTGAAGCAGGGAAATGAGAGAGAAAAGAAAAGAAAAGAAAACTCCAAGGGGCCAGTAGCAAGTCCCCACTTTCTGTGTTTCTGTGTTTTGGCTCAGCTGTTAATGGTGGTAATATATTGTTACTTACAGGCCCTCAGTTCAAAAATGGCAAAGACCCCAATAGTTGGGGGAATGCTACTTTCCACCTTGTTCAGACAGCCACAAAAACCCTATATTCTGGGCCCCTCCATGCCAAAAAGCTGTCCTGGAGGGGCTGAACTCCAGCTCTGAGTTGTGAGCTTTTCCCAGGGCCCACCCACCTGCAGTGTGCTTTCCTCTCTGTTCCCAAGTCAGGGGTGACCTGAGCCAGTGAGGCCTCTGCTCTACTTCTCAGAAATGCTGCCCACACATTTAGCACAGGACCCAAGGGTTACTGATAGAATCCACTGCTATGGCCAGACCAATTCTCTGGAGCCACCACTGGCTTCCTGGTGCTCCTGGTTCACTGCCCAGGGAGATTTCCATTGCTCCATCCTGCCAACTCCCATGCCACAGAGCAAGTTCATTTATTTATATTCTTCTTGACTGTTTACCCTTCCTCTCCTTTTTCTTTTTCCTCCTTCTCAACTAAATCAGGCCTTCTCAAACTTAATGAGCTGTTGACAGCCCCAGAATCCCTGCTTCAAACTGCTGCACCTGGTTTTTCAGGCATTAAGGTGCTAGAGGAAACAAACATGTGGGATACAGGTAAGACACAATCTTCTTTCTTCTTGTATTGGCCATTTTGAATTGAACAATCACATGATATACTATGCTGTGAATGAGAAATTGAATGGTTCCACATTTATTGTTAAAAAAAAAAATCAAGATCTATCATGAAGTACAATACTGTCAGTGATAGGATAATACCCATGCATCTCCAAGGAAGACTAGTTATTACTACTACTATTATTCATATTTAAATACCAACCACTAAAGCCAAAGATGAAGAAACAGAAATTTTTACCAACTTCTATAGTCTAAAATTGACAAAACATGCAATCAAGATGTATTGATGATTACTGGTGAAGGGAATATGAAAACTGGAAAAAAAAAAAAAAAAAGAATCATTGGTAGTTGGAAAATACAGTGTTAGTTAAAGAAAGAACTCCAGAGATCACATGATAGAATTTTGCAAGATCAAAGACTTATTCATTGCAAATAATCATTTTCAGAAGATACACATGGACCTTGCCAGATGGAATACATAGCAATCAAATTGACTATATCTGTGGGAAGAGGCAATGGAAAAGCTCAATGTCATAAGTCAAAACAAGGCCAGCAGGTGACTATAGAGCAGACTATCAACTGCTCATATGCAAGTTCAAGGTGAAGCTGAAGACAATTAAAACAAGTACACGAAAGCCAAAATATGATCTTGATTATATCCCACTTGAATTTACAGACCATCTGAAGAATACATTTGACACATTGAACACAAATGACTGAAAGACAGATGAACTATGGGATGGCATCAAGAACATCATACATGAAGAAAGTAAAACATTATTAATAAGACAGGAAAAGAAAGAAAAAGACCAAAATGGATGTCAGAGGAGACTCTAAAACTTGCTCTTGAATGGAGAGTTGCTAAAGTGAATGGAAGAAATGATAAAGTAAAAGAGCTGAACAGAAAATTCCAAAGGGCAACTTGAGAAGACAAAGTAAAGTATTATAATGAAATACGCAAAGACCTGGAATTAAAAAACCAAGATGAAAGAAATGAAGGAAAAAAATCAAGACTCAGGTTGGAATATTGAAGGATTCTATGGGCAAGATACTGAACAATAATGAAGTACAGAGAATCACTCTACCAAAAAGAATTGGTCAGTGTTCAGCCATTTCAGGAGATAGCATATGATCAAGAACTGATGGTATTGAAGGAAGAAGTCCAAGATGTACTGCAGGAAATGGTGAAAACAAGCCTGCAGGAATTGACAGGATACCCATTGAGATGTGTCAACAAACAGATGTAGCACTGTAGGTACTCACACACCTACACCAAGATATTTGGCAGAGAGCTACCTGGCCAACTGACTGAAAGAAATCTGTATTTGTGACCATTCCGAATAAATGTGATCAAAAAGAATGTGGAAATATTGAACAATATCATTAACATCATATGCAAGTAAAATTTTGCTGAAAATAATTCAAACACAGTTGCAGCAGTACATTGATAGGAAACTGCCAGAAATTCATGGAATGAGTTAGGTGGATCTTCACTGAAAGCAAAGAATACCGGAAAGATGTTTACCTGTGTTTTATTGACTATGCAAAGTCATTCAACTGGGTGGAGCATAACAAATTATTAATAATATTGAGAAGAATGGGAATTCAAGAACACTTAATTGTCTCACGAGGAACGTGTACACAGAGCAGGAGGCTGTCTTTTGAACAGAGCAAGGGGATATTGTATGGTTTAAAATCAGGAAAGGTGTATTCAGGTTTGTATCCTTTCACCATACTTATTCAGTCTGTTTGCTGAGCAAATAATCTGAGAAGCAGGACTATATGTAGATGAATGTGGCATCAAGATTGGAGGAAGACTCATTAACATCCTGCAATATGAAGATAACACAACCATGCTTGGTGAAAGTGAAAATGACCTGAAGCATTTATTGATGAGTATCAAAGACTCCAGATTCATTTCAACATAAAGAAAACAAAAATCCACAACTGACCACTAATCAACATCATGAAAACGGAGAAAATATTGATGTTTTCAGTGATTTCACTTTAATTATATGCACAATTAACACTAATGGAAACAGCAGTCAAGAAAGCAGATGACAGATTGCACTGGGCAAATCTGTTGCGAAAGACCTCTTTAAGATGTTAAAGAGAAAAGATGTCACATTGAAGACTAAGCTGTGACTGATCCAAGCCTTGGTATTTTCAATTGCCTCAAATACATGTAAAAACTGGACAATAAATGAGGAAGATCACAGAAAAATTGATGCCTTTGAACTGAGGTGTTGGTGAAGAACACTGAAAATACCATGGACTGCCAGAAGAATGAACAAGTCTGTCTTGGAGGAAGTACAGACAGAATGCTCCTTAGAAGCGAGGATGACAAGACTTTATCACTAGTACTTTGGTCATATTATCATGAGGAACCATTCCCTGGAGAAGGATATCATGCTTTAAAGTAGAAGGTCAGCATAAAAGGCCCTCAACAAGATGCACTGACACAGTGGCTGCAACAATGGACTTAGGCATAGCAAAAACTGGGAGGATGATGAAGGATCAGGCAGAGATTTGCTTTGTGCATTGCCATTCTCTTCATCAGAATTAGCACATGTACTATTCAAAGAAAGGTGACCTGACAGAATACAGAAATTATCAAGCAATATTGTTAATATCACACAAAAGTAAAATTTTGGTGAAGATAATTTAAAAAATGTTGCAACAGTACAAATGATGGATAACACTGCAAAGCATGGGAATTCCAGACTACTTAAATGTGCTCATGAGGAACCTGTACATAGACCAAAAGGCAGTCATTTGAACAGAACAAGGGGATACTGAACGATTTAAAATCAGGAAAGGTGTGTGTCATGGTTGTAGCTTTTCACCATACTTAATCCGTATACTGATAAAATAATACGAGAAGCTGGACTATATGAGGAGCACAACATCAAAATTAGAAGAGGAGAGTCCCTGTAAGATGGTGGAATAGGTAGACAAACTACACAGACACTCTTCAACAAAGAAAAGGGGAACCAAATAACACAGATACAAAAGATAATCCTGGAGCCCTGAGCTTTGAAAGGAAGGATACAGAAGTGGACTAAACTCCAACTAGTAGA